GGCAGAGCCTCAAGCTGTCACCCTGGGCAGAGTGCCGTGGCATTACAGCTCACAGCAACCTCCAACTCCTGGGCTCAAGCGAGTCTCCTGCCTTCGCCTCCCAAGTAGCTGGGACCACAGGCGCCCGCCACAACGCCTGGCTATTTTTTGGTTGCAGCCGTCATTGTTGTTTGGCGGGCCCAGGCTGGGGATTCGAACCTGCCACCTTAGGTGTACGTGGCTGGCGCCTTAAGCCTGTTGAGCTATAGGCACCGAGTCAGATTATACAATTTTTATTGAGTTGTTGGAGCTCCTTATATATTCTAGTTATTAATCCCTTGTCAGATTGGCAGTTAGCAAAAATTTTCTCTCCCAGTCTGTGGGTTCTCCCTTCACTTTGTTGATGTTTTCTTTGCCATGAAGAAGTTTTTTTTTCTTTTTCTGTGAAGAAGCTTTTTAGCTTGATGTGATCCTATTTGTCCAATTTTTTCTTGGCTGTTGTGAAATGATCAAAAATCATTAAGAAATCATTGCCTAGACCAATGATCAGAGCATTTCTCCAATGTTTTCTTTCTGGAGGTCTACAGTTTCAGGTTCTGAATTTAAGTATTTAATCCATTTTGATTTAACTTTTGTATTTGGTGAGATTTGAGGGTCTAGTTTCATTCTTCTGCACGTGGATAGCCAGTTTTCCCAGCACCATTTACTGAAGAGACCGTCCTTCCTCCAATGTATATTTTTTGAACCTTTGTTGAAAGTAAGCTCACTATAGAAAATGAAGTTATTTCTGGGATCTCTATACTGTTTTGTTGATCTGTGTGTCTATTTTTATGCAGTGCCACCTTGTTCTGGTTACTACAGCTCTGGAGTATGATTTGAAGTCAAGTAATAGGATTCCTCAAGTTCTGTTTTTCTTTGCTCAGGATGATTTTGGCTACTTTGGGTCTTCTGTACTTCCATATGAGTTGTTGGATTTTTTTTCTTTTTCTGTTAAGAATGACATTAGTATTTTGATGGACAGTATTTTACATTTTCATCCCAGTGAAATTTTATTACCATTGTAATCAGTAAAAATTAAAGCCCAGCCATAGACCCTTAGCAGTAAAATGACATGAAGGTCTGGGAGGTTCCCTTCCTTTGCCCCATCCCAGCTGTAAATAAATCCATTTCACTCACAAAGCTTCAACTTGGTGGATAATTATGGACCACTTGAATGGGTTAATTTAATAGTAGAAACCAATTGTTCTGAGACACTTGTACCGATTTGCTCCTTGATTACCTAATTTTATCCTTTCTATAGTATATACATATCCTAAAAGGTGATAATCTTAGGCAAAAAATTATTTTTTTATCTTGAGGTGATAAATACTGAAAGTTTCAGTGAAACAGCTCTGTGGCCTTAGGTACACCCAGGGGCCATGTGGTGGTTATAAACCTGTCATCTTCTCCACTCTCTCTCTGTTGCCTTTACTATGTTATATGAGCTTTTGGTCCCTTAGCTTTTTCCCACCTATAAAATGATGACATGAACAGCACTGCCCCATATAGTTGTGAAAATGAAATAAGTTAAGATACATAAAGAACTTCTTAGAGCAATACTGGGTACCTACATAATAAATGTTAATGTTATTATATATTGTTTTGGGGTCCTCAAGTCCACTCCTATGTTTGACAAGTTACTAGAATTCGCAGAACAAAGAAAAGTTGTTATAGTCACAGTCATAGTTTATTACAGAAAAAGATGACAACCAGCAAAGGAAAAGGCACATAAGGTGAAGTCCAGCAAGACCAGCTGCGAGCTTCCTGCTGTCCTTCCAGCAGTGTCACGTGGACAGATTTCAGTTCTATCAGCGATGATGTGGGACAGCATATGCAAAGTGTCATCAGCTAGGGACACCTGCCTATGTCTGGGTGTTCGGAGTTTTTATGGTGGGGGTCAGTTGAATTGGCATGCAGGGCTTTAGTGACCGACCTTAGCTACTCAGTTTTTAGCCTCCCCTCTCTACCCCCCCCCAACTGGCCCAAAGAGGTCAAATGGACACAGTGTGACCTAAAGCTCAGGTATGCTTTAGGAATGTACCATAAATGAATTATGGATGTACCATAATCACACTGTTGACATCAATACTTGGCATGACTCAAGTTTCAGATATACAACAACATTCTTACCAAGCAGCACATTCTAAGGGCTCAGAGGAGCCACTTAAAGACCAGTCTTGAAGACCTTTGAAATGTACTGGGTTTGGGCAACCCAGGTTTATTGAGTTAACCATTTACTGCACATATATGTGAATTTTACTTATTTGAACAATTTAATCATCTTATTAATGTTTTGAGTAATTTTAGTATGTGGAAATTTATTAAATATCCTTTGATGTATAGCTCTTATAACCTTTTCTCTGTAAGATGGAAAATAATTTCAGTTTTATCCATCTTATAAACTTAGGGAGGAAATGTAATTACTCTAACATGAAATGACACATCAGAAACTAAAGATCACTACTACTATTACAATAATGGTGATAAGAAGGTTTCAAGTATTTTAACTATAATTCCATGAAAAATGAGTTAATCATATTGTTAGTTTTAGCCTTTAACAACTGTGGTAAGTAGGTGATACTTCTTTACACAGGTTAGAGAATAAAGATCCTGAGGGTTTCAAGAACTCCTCCAAGTCTCCCAGCCAGTAATGGGCAAAGCCTAGTTTTACCTTATGATTCCAAAGCTCATGGTCTTAATAGTATGCATGACTTTGAGAAACAGTGTTTAAAAAGTATACTGAAACGTTAAAAATTCAGCAAAATTTATTTGACTTTATACATCTTAAGATCCACTGGATATTTAGACAGTGGGGCCATGTGTGAGTAGAATATGTGTCTCTCCTAACAATAGAAGAGATTACTGCAAAGAAGATTCCAAGACTCTAAGATGCCTCTCTCCATAGCAATGTGGTATAGAAAACACAAGTGTGAAAAACACAAATGGGGAGAATTATGTAGTCGTTTTGAGTGTCTTTATTATGTTAATATATATTTATTTTATATATAACTATATTATATAATATAGTTTATTATTTTATAATATATTATGTTATTACATAATATAGTTTAATAATTTATTATAATACATAAGAACTATATTATAATAATAAACTATTATTTATCATGTCTATATTTAAAAGGGGAATATAAAAGCTAACTGTTACTAAAGATTCCAAAATTGTTATCACATGAATTGTTTATAATGGCATTTCTCCCTCCCCTCTTGTTAGATCTCAGTCTGTGGTGGAAGCTGGGACCCTGAAACATGAGGAGAAGGGAGAGAATGACAACACTCAGCCACTGCTGGCTCTGGACTGAACCCAGAGCCTCCCACCACCCCTGCGCATTGGCCTTCAGTGGCTCAGCCATCCAGGGAGCACATGCGCACCTGACCCCCAGACACGCGTGTTCCACTTGATATGAGGTCCTCCACACCTGACCCCCAGCAATGACTGTCACCAGCCAGTAGTCTGAGCAGCCAGAGTTGGACAAAGACTTGGGAGAGACTTTCTTTTTCAGTGAGAGGACAGGAGGATGATGCAAGGCATTTATATAAAAAAAGATTCTCCTTTCCTCCATATTTATGGTATTAAAAGAATTAAAAAAAATGAAAAACAGATTTGGATGCACACACTGCATTATGACAAGGATGTTTTCTGAGATAGCACACAGGGACCCTCTCCAGTTTTTTAAAATTAAGACTAAATGCATTTCCAAGTAAATACATCAGAGTTAAACTGCGCAGACACAATTGTCAAGTTTAATGTAATGCAAAGCCCTGAGACAATAGTATATCCAGTAATTTCCATTCTTATTGAATTATTTTCTTTGACCTCATCACCAGCATCAAACTGCTCAGACTAAGAGCATGTTCTCATAGGTCTGGCTATTTGCAGAGTTTGCTTATTTTGTTATCCTGCACAAAAGGATTTTGACATCACATATTTTGTCCACTATCATGACTTTAAAAGAAGAAACCTACTCCTGGAAATATGATTATTCCATCTTAGCAACATGAGTTCCCACAGGCAGCCTGAGAACCCATTAGTACAGTGTGTGTCTGTAGAGAAGAGACATCTCATTGAAAACACATGTCAGTGATTAATGAATCCATTCAAGTTGCCTCACTTGGGTCACTACTGCAAAGAAAAGTGCTACTGAATCACTTAACCCTCCCCCAACCCTTGAACCATTAGAGATCCAAAGAGAAAGAGCATGGCTGTAGGTGAGACAGTAAATATTCAACCATGGAGGAAGACCCATAAGGATGACCAGATATGCAAGTACTGAAATAAAAGAAAACTAGAAATGAAGAATGAAATGCCAAAGATCATTTTATTTCTTTATCTATTCTCCTTAGAGATGGAGTCCCCAACTATCCATTTAAAGGAAATCAGATATACAATAAACAGACACTGTAGTACATGATATCCTTACTTGTGACATGTTTCCCAAGACCAGTGCAGAGTTCTAGACACGTCTTATTTGCCTAGTCATGTGCATGACATGGGTAGTTATTAGGATGACCAGCTGGTGCTCAATGTCAAATAAAAAATATTTCAGGTGATAATTGGCAGTAAAATCTGATTTTACATTTTAAGTATTTGGGAGGGTTAATTTTTTAGCTAAATAATTTAAAGGAAAGAGGTGATTCAACTGGCTACCACCACCCCCCATAGATATTATGACTAATCTTTACCATTTATTACATCTCTTTCTCAATGGATCTAATGTTTTAATTCTTTTCCTATTGGTAGAGAATAATAACAGAAGTAATTTTTATATTATATCCTTGGAGAAATAAAACTGAAACAGAATTAAAAGTATTTCTCACACAATTGTATCACAGCATAAATAACCAATTAATTTTGTGTAGACATTCCCAATCCCAAAATAATAACACAAAAATAATTCTACCAAGCAGTGACAGAAACATTTTTCTTGTACCAAGACATAGGTAAGAGAAATAAGGAATTAAAGTGAATTATCAAATCCATTTTATTGCTTGAGTTTATAAAATAGTTGTGGGATCCAGGTATTTACAATTTTATTGGAGTCAATTACTGCCAGCACTCTGCAGCAGGAATAACATTTCTAGTTTTTCAATCGGGAATATTTAGAACCCCACTCTAGTGACCTGATTTTAAACACTTTATTATATTTACTGAGTTAAGAGTTAGTTTTTCCTCTGTTCCATAATTTCATTACATGAATGTAAGATGATGGTTTTACAGTAACATATAGTTTGAATTTCTTTATGTATATGCAATATACATATAAGAACCAAATTTGGTAAGTGACGTGAACATTACTACATGAGCATTTAACTGTATTGCCCTGTGTCAGTCACTTCCTCTGTTCAATAAATACTGAAGGATACAATACCCTTTTACTTTTCAAGTTTGCCGTCTCTTCTGGACTTTGGTAATGAACTTTGATATTCTTCCTCCCATGCCTCTTCATCTGATTTAGTGGGATTTTCGAACACCAGCAAAACAGAAGGAAGAGGACAAATATTTTGCAAATTCATCTAATGAAAGCTAACGTCCACTAGGTCAAACAAAATGGGCCAATATCAACTCTGAAGAACTGTTCTTTAAATGAGACAAAGAATACCTCCTCCTTTGTTCTTAAATCAAAAAGAAAGCACACATTTTTTCTATCTGTGAATGAATAATGAAATGTGGTGACCTACATGCCATTCATACAGCTCTTTTGTTCATCCTGGCTTAGAATTCAGTGCACGAATATCATTACATTCTTAGGGCTCACATTTGTGTTAGCCTTGGCTAAAAACCTACAATATCGAATGCATTAATAATTTACTAAATTAATGACCTGATCATCTTTGGATTGAGTAGGCAAGATCATTTTTCAGTTGTTATTCCTATGTCACAGGTAATAGCAAATCTAAATATAGATAATAATTGCTGTTTCAAAGTCATGTTTAAAGGGCAGAAGATTCTCAAGCCACAGAGATAAAAGAGTCCTCCAACTTATTCAAAGAGGAAAACAATCTCAACATCCCTACACAGATCCTAGCACATTTGGTGACCTTTCCTTCTGCGGTCCTTAATATTTCCATAACACTGTGATGAGAATCATCTCAAGAACCAAAGGGTTGTCTTCCTGTCACTCACATGATCCACCACAGGGAAGGACACTTTGGATTCCCAGGCCCGTCTCACAGATGGTAAAGTGGCCAGCAGCCAGACATCCCAGCAGCCCCCAGTCCACTTAATCCTGAGAGAAAAGTTTTATTTCCATAAATTCGACTTTCCCCCCTCCAAGCCCTAATACTTCGTATTAAAAACACTTACATATGGTACTTTTATAACTTAATATAAAATAATTCCATGCCTTTTTTTTTTTTTTTACTGTGAAGTTTCTTTTAAAGAGGAATAAGATTTTGACAATATTCTCACCATGCACAGTGAGAGGAGAAATTAAGGGTCTTGATCTCAATGAGGTTAAGGAAGAATGCAGACTCCAGGGTTGGGATCAGTACACTTCATAGCCACAGGTGTAATGATGTCTTCCTTTCTTGTATTAGGAAAATAAAACTGCTTTTTTCATGAGTGTTTTTTTACTAAAAAGAATTAGAAGAGAGAGAGAGGCCTGAGTTTACCAGGAATATTACTATTAAACAGAGACAAGTGAAGCATTTACACAGCTTTTCGTTAAAAGCAATTTAAAAAGTAGTGTTACATGACAACAAACTAGTCTAGCTACCCTAGAAAAATATAACTGCATAGAAAAATTACAAACGAAAGCAATTCATTCACAGTTTCTACATATATTCTCACTGTACACTGATTTAAACCTACTCTACATCAAAACACTATCTTTGGCTGGCAAGGTAGGAGCTATCGCAAGGTTCACCTTAAACCCAGGCGTAGGCCCCGTGTGTCATGGGACGGAACGCAGCAGGGTGGTTTCTAAGTGAATTGCAGCAATGCAGATATTCCCTTTAGTGTCTTCTAACCCTAGGAGGAGGCTTAGAATTTTTCAGGCTGCAAATTGAGGGGATTAAGAGCCTTGTTGTTTGAAATTCCTGCGACGGACCCAAGGAGATGGAACCCGAAAGGCAGCCTCTCTCCAGAGTGTTCCTCGGTTGCATGAACTTCCTGCTAAATTGCAGGAAGACTGCGTCTCTGCTGGGCTGTCAGCTCCGGGTGCCACACATCCACGATGAATATGAGCCGGAAACTCGAGGCGTCCTGCCACACCTCGTGCTCAAAGGAGTCATCAAAGATGAGCACCTTGCCTTCCTCCCAGGACCTGCAGCAGAAAGACATGGATCCCTGAGTACAGCTCTGGGTGATTCAGGTGCCTGGGGAGGGATTCAGACGCAGGAAATACATTTTACGATAACTTCTGAGATATTAGCCAGATAACCAGAACACCAAGCCTGAGTTTATTTTTCTGTTGATGATTAAGAAAGAATTCCAGAAGTCTTATTATGAATATTGATTTGCACTGGAGATGCACAAAGGGCAGGGCTGGTGATGAGGACATGCTCGTCTTCTGCAGCCCCGGCCACCAGTCTGGACCTGACCTTACGAGAGGCTTGTTTGGTCAGGCAAATGTTCACACGCATGCCCTGAGGACACACACTGGACGACTTGTGGGTATGACCCCACATCTGCCCTCTTTAGCCCTATGGGCTGTGCCCGGGTCTCAGGCATCCCTTAGGATCTGTGGCACAGGTCTGTACACCTCCAAATACTGTCTTCAGCTCATTCCATTTGTCTTAGCCTTATTTTATAGAATACAGGAGTTTTTACTTAAACTCATGACCAGAAAACAGATAACTAAATAAGGTGTTTCCTAGCTAGTATTCTGGCTAAGGAAAATGGACAGATTGGGAAGGAATTTTGTTTATATTTTTAGCTACATCTGCTATGCAAGTGGGTTATCCATGGAACATTTTAAATCAATGCTGCAAAACACCCTTTAAAGCCTCCAGCACCATCTCGTAAGAGATCAGTATAGAGCAGTGTTTTTCAACCTTTTTTATCTCATGGCATACTTGAACCTATAGCTAAACTTCCATGGCACACTTAAAGTATGTTGATCCAAAAAAAAAAAAAAGAGAGAGTAAAAAAAAGGAACATACTGTGCCTTGAACTTCTATTGAAAATAATTTAGTTAATGATCTTTAAAACTTGTTACAGCACACCTACGATCCTGTCACGCCACACCAGTGTGCCACAGTGTACCAGTGTGAAAATCACTCGTACAGAAACTAAGATCTAAATATAGTATTGGGCTAAACAAAACAATCAAGAGAGAAATATGCAGGGGGAGCTATATGATGCTTTTCAGATCCAAAGGAGGATTATGAGCTATGCCAACGATTTCTTATTTTTAAAACAGTTATTAATTGTCATCATATTTAAATGTTACATCTTTAAAACAATATTTTTTACTAGAAATTTTCTTTGGACACAAAAATTCTACTTAACTATGTAAAATTTTATATCCCAAATTAGCAAATAATTACAATTATAGAAAGGGAAGCTCTAGCTTGATTTCAAGTTATCATATTATCATAAAGATGTTTTCCTTGGGAAAACTATTGGTGTCTTTTTCTGTTCAGGACTAGATGCTTAATCAGTGTGTGTATGTTGAGTAATATTACAGAGAGCCCAGACTCTCACCTTTAGTGCTACGGATATCTAGGCCGGATCATTCTGTTGTGAGGCTGCTCTGTGCACTGTAAAATGTTTTTCTGCATCTCTGGCCCCCACCCACCAGACAGCAGTAGCACCCTCCACATCAGCTGTGACAACAGAAGTGTCTTTAGTCATTGCCAAATGTGGGGGGCAGGGTGGGTGTGTATGCAAAATCATCCCAGCAGAAAATCCTGACATACTCAATAAATCTGACAATAAAACTTCTAAGTTGTTTCAACCAACTGATTAGGTCATGAGTATCTGCAACTTAAAAGTCCACCAAATATGGTGTCCGCCTTGTGTGCTGTCTCCCACACCCAGCCTGATGTCTTGAATTCAACAAACCACATGTACTGCTAGGCTCTTTGATATAATCCCTCTTAAGGTTTAAAGAGTTCCAGCCAAGGAGAGCAAAGGACATAAATATAAGGTCTCATTAGCAG